CCAAGACATTTACAACAAATTAGTTCCAGTGATCCAGAGTATAAGATGCTATTTATTTATTTATTTATTTATTTACTTACTTACTTATTTTGGTGCCAGGAATTGAACTCAGGACCTTGTGCTTGCCAGGCAGGCACTTATGTAGCTGAGCTATACCCCTAGCCCTTGAAGATGCTTTTAAGTGAGATGATACAGGTGAAAGTTTTGGCAGAGTACCTAAAGATGCTCAATAAAAGTGCTAGCCAAATTCAAATCTAAATTTGTAGCATACTTTATTTTCCCTGCTTCTGCTTCCCTCTATTGGTTTGAATGATTAAGAATTTTTTTTTAAGTTTTATAACTCTGCTTCAAATAATGATTTATGTATTTCACACTAAAGCTGTTTCTCCTTATTACAAACTGTATTTGTTTGCTGTTGCATATACAAAAGCAAAAGTCTAGTTTTGTAGAGAGTTTATTTTATCATGATATATGGGTTATACAAAGCACATGTAATAATTGGGATAAGTCACTCTAGTTTGCTGTACTGTATTTTGGGGGGCTGTTTTGCTTTGTTCTGTTCTGTTCTGTTTTGAGACAGGGTCTCACTGTGCAGTTCAGGCCAGCTTTGAACTCACTATGTAGCCCAGGTTAATCTCGAACTCATGGCAGTCCCCCTGTCTCAGCCTCCCAAGTGCTGGAATTACAGGCATATGCCACCACACCTAGCTTTACTATATTGTCTTTAATATATTAAATTTTCCAAATGCTGAAAGTTAAAAAATAATCAGAACACAATTACATAAGAAAGGGCTGGGGATATAGCTCAATGGTGCAGTACCTGCCTGGCAAGTGCAAAGTTGTGAATTTGATTCCCAGTACACAAAAAAAAAGGAAAAAAATTACCTATTCTTCTTCTTAGAAGCAGGATGGAACCCAGGCATAGTGACACACACTTGTAATGTTGGCATTTGAGTAAGCAAAGGCAGAAAGATCACAAGTTTCAGCCCAGCCTGGATAACTCAGCAAGACCCTTTCTCAAAAAAAAAAAAAAAAAAAAAAAAAAAAAAATCACTTGGGATATAGTTCATTGTGAATGCTCTGGCTTCAATCCCCAGTTCCCTGACCCCAAGGTATGATAGAAAAAATGTTTTGATTTCAAATAGTTTAGATTGTGTTGGTTGTTGGTCATTGTCATTAGCATTGGTCATACTAATTAGTATGGAGTCTGACTATCTTGTTTTCTGCTACTGACCTATCTGGGGCAGAGTGATCATTTCAGGCTTTTTTAAAAAATGGTTTGAGGATAACCATAGTAAATTTTGAGTCCAGTGCAGGAGTCTGTGGCTCCCCAAATATCCCAGAAGCAGCTCAGCTTCTTCCCAACCTCCCTAAGTAGCAGTGATGCCCAGTCACATGCAGCCCCTTGTTCCAAGGGTGAGGGCTGCTCGTGCACTGCTGACAGCTTTCCTTCCTCTCACAGCAGTCAGGGGGGACCCATCCTCCTCATGCCCTGTACAGCTTTTCATTCCCTTGGTATGAAGCCTGTGGGTCACAGTGGAATGTAAGGATTCTGGGCATCCTAGTCATTGGGACATAACACCCAGCACCCACAACATAAAGGAGGAAATGTTTATTTTTGGCTCATGGTAACAGTCTGTGACCCATTAGCTCTGATGCAGAAAAGGGTAGGAAACAGAGGGGCGGGGAGGGACTAAGGAGGGAGATACGCCCTTCCAGGTGATGCTCCCCCCCACCTGCCTCTTCTGGCCAGGCCCCAGTCCCAATAGCAAGTGAGCCATGAGCCCATCAGTAGACTATTCCACAATGAACACAGCACCCCATAGTACTGGGAAAGGTGACACATTAAGTCATTTCTATTATGTGCTGAACTTATTAGATCCCTTCTTGAGAGGAGATGTTAAAGGAGGAGGGGGCTCAAGATTGCTGAAGTAACTAAAGGGCTCAGAATTCATAGACGGGTTTACCAGTAGCCAGTGTCACACTCAAATTATTCCTGATGTCTTGATCCCGTATGCTGCAACTTCAGCTCCCACAGAAGCGCCAACGAGGGACAGCCTCTTACTACCAGAAGTTACAGTCCAGAAATGTGATGGCAAATGCAAGGGGAATGTGCAGGGACAAATGAAGTTGCTCAGAGAAGAATGTCAAGAAGGACGCAAAGGGTGTCCCAGGACCTCCCTCCTTACCAAAATGCAAGGGTGCTCAGTCCCTTGCATAAAGAGACGTAGTATTTGTATATAACCTATGCACACCCACCTGTATGCTTCAGATTCTCTCCAAATTACTTACAGCAGCCAATACAATATAAATTCTGCATATTTATTGTCTTCTTATTTTTTAGCGCTGGGGATTGAACCCAGGGTTTTGCCCATGCTTGGCAAGTGTCCTACCACCGAACTATACCCTCAGGCCTACAAACAGTTGTTATACTGTATTGTTTATGGAGCGGAGTTTTTAAAAAAATCTGCATGTTCAGCATAGATGCAGATTTATTTTTTGAGTACTTCCTATCTGCAGTTCATTGGGTCCACAGATGTTGAGCCCACAGATTTGTAGGGCTGGCTATAATGAGCTTTGCAGATGTGCATAAACCCCTCATGTACTCTGCACAGAGCTGGACAGCCGCACAGTCAGACACCAAACCTGTCTTAACTGCTTGCTTGAGCCTCTTTGGCTCTGCTTTAACCCATTCCATTCTTCGTTTATTAAGGGCTTCAGTTGGAATGAGCCAGGCCCAAAGATTTACCTTTGGAGAAGAGAAATGAAGTCCTGGTAAGACTTCCTAGGTTGTGTGTGAATCTGCTTGTTGAGGCTGAGCTGTCTCTGTGCACTTGTGGTCAGTATTTCCAGAAATGGATTGAATTCTTCGCTTCAATTTTTAGAAGTCTGTTTGTCTGTGGTCTCGTGTTGGGATTTGAAAGCCAGATGTTTTTGCTGCTTCTTGCTTCTCTAGGTCACTTTTGTGTTGCAAAGCTGTTTTTCTCATTAGGTAGTAAAACTCTCCATAAATTGTCCTACCTTGCTTAGTAGAATGTCTGCACAATAATGCAAGTGTCTTGCGTGTATATAGCATTTTATAGTCTTCAAGACATTTTTGCCTATATTATCTCACTGTGCAATGCTGCCCTGCTCTTCTGCAGTTACTCACCATTTTCATCAACCTAGATACTTTTCCTTCTTTCTTCTAACTTTGAGGCTACCATGAGCTTACTCCCCACTTTCTTCATTTTATTTTCCCCAAGCATCAAAGGTGGCAAAGAAATTTTTCATAGAACAGTAAAAACATATACAAATTATCCTGTTTTCGATAGAAAAATGAAGATAACCTGGATGCTGTTTACATACTGTCTCTGAGAGTGAAGAAGTTCTACTTCTTTGGGCTCTCTTTCTTAGCAGGAGTACTAAAAATGACTTTAATCAATGAAACACTGAGAACGGAGGAAGCATGTAAGTTAGAGCCCTATAGTCATTTTGTAAGTCCTCTTTGTTTTTGTACTTAGAGTTTGTCTTTCCACTTTCTCAGTTTTAAAGCATTGTTTCTGATTTTACTCATCCCTAGTAGAAAAATTACAGCTTCCTTAGCACCTTTTTTTTCTTGGAATTAAAGTCTAGGAGGTGGGTCCATAAGTTATGTTTTAAAGGTTTTCTTCAGAGTGTTTTGGAAGCTCCTTTAAGGTTCATTGAGGCCACCCCAGGAATCCCTTGAACGCACCTCTTATTGTCCCACCATTCCCACATCTTGTCTCTGTCATCTCTGCCACTCCACCGCCAGATGCTGGGGTGGCACTAATGACCAGATGACTGTTGAGAGTCACGAGCCACGTGGTATCAGGGCTGAGGAGCCCTAGCCACATTGCCTGGGCCCTTCTGCCTTATACTCCCTCTGTGCCGTCCTTGAGTGGTCAGCAAGCCTCAGCCCATTCCCGCTAAGGGAGTATAAGAGTGTCCTTTTTTTGAGCCCAAAACTTTCCTTGTAGTTTTGTTCAGTTCTACAAACATCAGGTGCCTGCCATACATGAGGTACTGTTTGAGGGGCTAGAAAAGGCACAGACAGCATAAGGCTTCTACAGCAAGCTCCATCTCTTGGAGACATTGAAGATAAGCCATGTAATTCTACACAGAAGTTCTTCAGTAACTTCAAGGCTATGCTCTGGATCCCCTAGGTCTTCACATCCAGCTAATACTCCACTCACGCTCTAGTAACATAGTTCCAGGTCTTTTCACTGTATGTATCTTTCAATTTTAATATTGAATATCCAGTTCAGTATTTGCTATCCATTGAATTAAATTGATTTTCATAGGCTTATTCTTATAAAGGCAATATGCATTTGAAGAAATTCTGAAAAATACAGACAACTATAAATTATAAAATATAAAAAAGAAATTATCTGTAATCCCATTGTCCACTGTTGAAATACTAGTATATGTTTTTCTTTAGCATTTTCCAGCTTGTATCTGTTTACATAGTTGAGGTTATAATTTTGGATACTGTTGTCCATTTTTGTGTCTTAATTCTGCATTTGATGTAAAACAGTATATTCATAAAAATCACGTACATGACTATAATATGCTGGTTAGACTTTCTTAGGGTTAAACATAAAATAGTGGTAGAGAATCCATAAGTGGGCTTTCCTGCTGCATCCTTGTTAAGTCTTTAGTCTCCTCTGCCACTGTACCTCTGAGTAGTAATAGTACTTTGTGGAAGGAAGGTGGGGGAACACTTTTCTCCTGTGGATTTTTCTAGTTTAGGTTAATCTTGCTCAGTTGCTTTTCCCCCTTTCTGTCCGCTCCTCTGTGTTTCCTCATAATCATGCTCTGCTGTTTGCTTGGTAAACAGGGTTGACAGTAGTGTTTTCTTGTGAGCTGCACTACAGTAGCCAGGTGGCTGCTTTCGAGGCTCTGTTTCTCCCAGGTTCACCCTCGAGGAGCACCTAGGAGCTGTGACTGGGGCCTCAGCAATGGCAAGCGCAGCACTCACTCTGCTCCTTGGGTTGCAGGCCTCCAGCTGAACCAGAAGGCCCTGACCACCTTCCCAGACGTGGTGGTTGTGCGGGTGTCCACGCCCTCTGTGCAGTCGGACAGCGATATCACTGTCCTGAGGCACCTGGAGAAGCTGGGCTGCCGCTTGGTCAACAGCTCGCAGAGCATCTTAAACTGCATCAACAAATTCTGGACATTCCAAGAGCTGGCTGGACACGGGGTGCCCATGCCAGACACCTTCTCCTATGGTAAGTCCTTAAAAGGCAGGCAGAGCTTGCCTTTCCAACACTCACATGTGCGTTTTTCCCTTCCTGGACAGAAATCTTCTAGTCATTCTTGTTGCCTTTCAATGTGAGCCTTCATTTTAGATGAGAGAACATCTCGAGCCAGGATCATGGCTGTTCTCTCTGAAATGACTTGGCTTCTTTTGTATGTGAGTCCCTCACTAAATACACATCTGTACATGCTGTGTCAGCCAGCGACCTTGGAGGCACTGGGCTATAGCAGAGAACAGCCTGACCCCACGGCACTTCCAGTTCCTCAGAGACAAGACAAGAAACTGGAAGCCTCAGTGAGGTATAGTGGTTGTGTGGTAAGAGCTAGCACCCCTGAGTGGTACAGGAGTATGTAGGAGAGCTCCTGGTGCAGTTTAGAAGACACTGAGGGACACTCCCTGAAAGAGACAGCACCAAATGAGTAAAATTATCCTGCTAAAATAAGGGGTATAGGGGAGTTACTTAGGCAGAAAGTGGAATATAAAAAAGGTAAGAGAGGGCTGGTGAGATGGCGCAGTGGTCTAAAGCACCTACTTAGAACAAGCTAAGCAAAGCACAGGGACCACGGTTCAATCCCCCAGCACCACATGCCAGCCAGCCCCGCCCCCTGGTGGGCTGAGCTGGCCACACACACACACAAAATAAATAAACAAATTTAAAAAAAAAAAAAAAAGTGAGAGAGAACATAATCTATTGGTGGTATTGTGAGTAGTTGAAAAAAATAAGAGAAGTAGGTTGTGATATTAGATTTGGAACACAAGCCGGACATGATGGTGTGTACCTTAATCCCAGCACTTGGAAAGGTGAGGCAGAAAGGTCACTATGAGTTCAAGACCAGCCTAGATTACAGAATAAATTCAAGGCCAGTGTACACAAACAAACAGATTTTTTTAAAACCCAAAGATTAGGAAGACAAAAAGATGCCTTATGCCATAGATAGTGGACAAAGGAGATACAGGAGGTTACTGGAGGACATTAGCTGGGAAGCTGGCCTAATCGGAGGCAGAGTATAGCAGATCACTTTGGCCACACCACAGAAAAGGAATTGGTGGACTGCAAAGTAGAAATGGGATAGGTAGTTAGAAGCTTTTTAAATAATTGAGTGAGCAACAGTGACTTAAAGTTTAAAGCGAAAATGGTTAAGTGAGCCAATACAGTGATTATGAAGGGCTTAGAAATAAAAGGAGATGGTGATTGATTGGGTATGGGGAATGCAGAGAGGGATCAGGGGGCCTGGTTTCTGGTTTGAGCAAACAGGTGAAGACAAGTGTTCACTGAGACCAGAAGAGTAGAGGGGAGGAGCATCATGGTGGTTAGATTAGGGGTGAGTGGTTTTGAGAGGGAGATGCTTTCATGCTGGGACATGTTCTGCTTGAGATGTCCACGTTATATGTAAGTGAAAATACTGAGTAGGTAAGGGTAAATGGGTCAGGAGCCTGAAAGAAGGGCAGATGAGATGGGGGGAGGGGGACATCTGTATTGTATTAAGCAAAGTCACAGGAATGGATGGTACTACAGGATGAGAAGGTACAGAATGAAAAGTAGGCTAAGCCATATGCTTACAAGAATTGAAAGGATGCGTTTATGTTTTATATATTTTACCACAATAAAAATTAAGTAAAAGAGGGGTTGGGGAGATAGCTCGGTGAACTAAGGGTCTACCTGGCAAGCACAATGACCCTGGGTTCAATCCCCAGTACTGAGTGCGGTACCAGTCTCAGATCTCCATGCGGTCACCAAAACTGGGTGTGGTGGTGCACACCTGTAATCCCAACAGTGGGGAGGCCGAGACAGGAGGATCACTACGAGTCCGAGCTGTGTAGCGAGACTCTGTACCAAATGAATGAATAAAAGATTAAAAATAAAAAGAATAAAAGTAGGGGCTGGGGAGTTGGCTCAGTGGAATAAGCACTTGCCTGGCAAGCACAGGGGCCTGAGTTTAATCCCTG